TATTTTTCACAATATATATATTTACTTAATCATTAATTTATTAGGTTATTATTAACATTACCTTCTGATTTTATGTATTACTAATCAATTATTAGTCTATAACAATACGTCATTAAGTTATTATCTTATAATATCTTTCTTATTTATAATTACTTTTCTTCCATCCCTTAATATACATACATGTAATTATTTTATTAGCTCATAATTACTTGGTAATGTAATTACTGTAGCATTAATACTGCAATATTGTTTTGTTGCTTTATTAATAGATTATCAATACTTTTATTAATATTATTCTTAATATTTACTAACAATTATTTCTTTCACATCTGCTTTTATCTGTAAATTATTGCTTCATTATTGTTTTATTAGTCAATAAATTGATCTTTATTAATATATTATTGTATTATTATCATTGTTGTCCTTAATTATTAACTATTAATACCATTAATATTTTATTAATCTATTACTTCATATATAATTATTTTGCAATTTATTAATATCCCATTAATATATTATATGTAAAATGATTTGTAGATAACCTACAATTATTACTTCATTAATCTAGTAGATTTAATAACTTATTAATGTATTAATCTATTAATAGTTGTATTCATCAATCATTAATTTGTTATTCTGCTATTATTAATTTTCCACTTCATTTTAATGCATTATTTAATTGCTTCATTATTATTGCAGTTATTATTCTATTTGTTCTAATTATTAATATATTGATTTTATTATTTTATTAATCTATTATTAATCTATTGTTATTATTCATTATTGATTGATCTCTTCATGTTAATACGATATTACTTATTGATTATTAATTATTTCCCTTCCACCCACACATCTGAATATTTCATTATCATTTTAATAGATTATTACTGTTTTATTGGTCTATTTATTATTAAGTCTTTATTAGTAGCTCATAATTTAATTATTAATTATTGAATGTATCCTTTCTAATTCTAATCTCATTAATCATCTTAATAATCACATATTTAGGACTATTTTTACAGTTTAATTACACTAATGACCAATTACAACGTCTCTTTATTATTAATTTCAGGCTTATTAATTATTAATCCCATTAATAAAATGATATTAACATAATCAATTGAATTAATCACCCTAATGAATAGAACTAATTCTTATAATCACTCAAATGCTTCAGACTCACTTCAGTAATTAAAATCATTGATGTAATTGAGACAATTAATAGGATATTGTGCTATTAATAGCATTTATTAATCCTAAATTAATTATTTCCAGGGATGACGACCCTTCAGGTAAGTTCCCACTTGGGGTCCATTTTTTGGGGTGAATTAAGCCAGATTTGGGTCCCCTCCCCCCCAAAAAAGGTCCCACCCGAGGGCTCCCAAAAGTCCCGTTTTTCAATGACCATTAATTAATGAGTTATTAATGATTAATTAATAATGAATGATCCCCGGTTCCTTGGAGCCGGATCCTCCTGGTTCATCGTTGACACGAACGGGAGGGTTTTTACCCCAAAATGGGGACAAAAGGGGGTGGCCCTGGAGGTGGCACCTCCTGTGGTGGCACCTTCACTGGTGGCACCTCCATTGATGTCACCTTCAATGGTGACATCTCCTGTGGAGGCTCCTGCACTGGTGGCACCTCCATTGATGTCACCTTCAATGGTGACATCTCCTGTGGTGGCACCTTCACTGGTGGCACCTCCCATGGTGGCACCTGCATTGGTGGCCCTGGAGGTGACACCTTCTGTGGTGCCACATCTACTGATGTCACCTCCCATGGTGCCACCTCCATTGGTGTCACCTCCATTGATGTCACCTCCATTGATGTCACCTCCATTGATGTCACCTCCCATGATGTCACCTCCATTGATGTCACCTCCCATGGTGCCACCTCCATTGGTGTCACCTCCATTGATGTCACCTCCCATGGTGCCACCTCCATTGGTGTCACCTCCATTGATGTCACCTCCCATGGTGCCACCTCCATTGGTGTCACCTCCATTGATGTCACCTCCCATGGTGCCACCTCCATTGGTGTCACCTCCATTGATGTCACCTCCCATGGTGCCACCTCCATTGGTGTCACCTCCATTGATGTCACCTCCCATGGTGCCACCTCCATTGGTGTCACCTCCATTGATGTCACCTCCCATGGTGCCACCTCCATTGGTGTCACCTCCATTGATGTCACCTCCCATGGTGCCACATCCCGTGGTGTCACCTCCATTGGTGTCACCTCCCATGGTGCCACATCCCGTGGTGTCACCTCCATTGATGTCACCTCCCTTGGTGCCACATCCCGTGGTGTCACCTCCATTGGTGTCACCTCCCTTGGTGCCACCTCCATTGGTGCCACCTCCATTGATGTCACCTCCCTTGGTGTCACCTCCATTGGTGTCACCTCCATTGATGTCACCTCCCGGTCCCTCCTCCAGCTCCTCCTCCTCCTCCTGGGCGCCCGGAGCGGCCGCGGCTCCTCCCGCGGGTCCCCGGTGGGGCCGGGCAGGGGAAGACCCGGGCAGGGTGAGTCCTCGGGGGTCCTGGGGGTGGGAACCGGGGGGTTCAACCCGCTCCGGCGGGGACCTTCGGGGTCCTCCTGCTCCTCCATGGGAGGGGTCTTCTCCATGGGCTGGAGACCTTCTGGGTCCTCCTGCTCCTCTCCATGAGCTGGAGAACTTAAGGTCCTACCTTATCTTTTCCATTGGAGACCTTCCGGTTGGACCTTCTCCAACATGGGTTCTCCATGGGCTGGAGACCTTCTGGGTCCACCTGCTCATCCCCATGGGCTGGAGAACGTCATGATGGGCCTTCTTCAACATTGGTTCTCCATGAGCTGGAGAACTTCTGGTTCCTCCTGCTCCTCCCCATGGGCTGGAGACCTTCAGGTCCTGCCTCATCTTCTCCATGGGCTGGAGACCTTCCAGTTCCTCCTGCTCCTCCCCAGACCTTCAGGTTGGACCTTCTCCAGCATGGGTTCTCCATGGGCTGGAGACCTTCAGGTCCTGCCTTATCTTCTCCATGGGCTGGAGACCTTCCAGTTCCTCCTGCTCCTCCCCAAACCTTCAGGTTGGACCTTCTCCAACATGGGTTCTCGGTGGGTTGGAGAACTTCATAACAGACCTTCTCCAACATGGGTTCTCAGTGGGTTGGAGACCTTCTGGGTCCCCATGGGCTGGAGAACTTCATGATGGGCCTTCTCCAACATGGGTTCTCCATGAGCTGGAGACCTTCTGGGTCCTCCTGCTCCTCTCCATGGGCTGGAGAACGTCATGATGGGCCTTCTCCAACATGGGTTCTCCATGAGCTGGAGAACTTCTGGTTCCTCCTGCTCATCCCCATGTGCTGCAGAACTTCATAACAGACCTTCTCCAACATGGGTTCTCTATGGGCTGGAGACCTTCAGGTCCAGCCTTATCTTCTCCATGGTCTGGAGACCTTCCAGTTCCTCCTGCTCATCCCCATGGGCTGGAGACCTTCAGGTCCAGCCTCATCTTCTCCATGGGCTGGAGAACGTCATGATGGACCTTCTCCAACATGGGTTCTCCAAGCCTTGAAGGTCTCATCTCGCTCGAGTTTCCTTCTCCTTCTCCTGCCCGTGGAGGGAGGTGTCACCTTCCCCCCCGGGGTGGTCGCTGGTGGGGTGGGCTGGGTCTCCTTCCACCTGAACGTTTTCCTCCTCTCCAGCCACCCCCTGGACCTCCCCCAGGAGCAAGAGGGCCCAGGAGTCCTACCTGAAGTGGGTGCCTTTTGAAGGCCACGTCCCCGCGGACGCCGTGGCCAACTGGAACGACCACGCCAAGAGGACCGAGTTCATCTGCTCCACCCGGGAGCTCTGCTGCAACGTCGGGGTCCACGTCCCCCACCGAGGTCCCACCTGCTTCTTCCCCTACAGGGAGCAGGAGATGAGCACCGAGAACTTCCAGGTCTTGGTCAACCTGGGTGGTTTGGAGGCCTTGGCTTGGGTGGATGATTCCTTTGGGGGGGTCCCCCGAGACGCCGTGGAGGGTTGTCCGTTGGTCGACGTCTTCGTTGGGAGGAACCACTACGGTGTGGGCAAGGTCTCCAAGGAGCAGAGGGCCCTGTTCGTGGTGGTGGATCAGGAGGAGCTTTGGTTCAAGTGGTACCAGGTCTTGGTGGTCAAGAAAGGTCCGGTCGGTGTCACCATCTCCGACGTCCTCTACAACCTGAGCGGGGCGGTGGAGCGACGGGAGGAGGTGACCTTGGTGAAGGCCACGCTGAGGAACGAAGGGTGTGGTTGGGGCTGGAGAGTCACCACCTTGGAGGAGACCACGGAGGTGGAGCAGGACTGGGAGTTGGAGCAGAGGGTCTTCCCCACCCTCCGGGGGGTCTTCCGAGCCACCCTCTTGACCTTCAACGGGACGGGTTGGGAGGCCACCAATGTCACCACCCTGCCCTGGGTGGGGGGAGCCAGCGCCAGCAAGTACGTGGCCCACAGGCAGGTGGTGGAGAAGCAGGTGCCACCAGGGAGGGCCTGTGGGGTGGCCTTGGTGGGACACAGGGTGGATGCCCAGGTCCCCTTCACCGCCAACTTCAGCCGGGACTTTGGGGACGGTGACGTGCACTGGGTGGGGGTTGGGGGGTGGGCTCGGATCCGGGCCGTGGTGGGGGTCAAGGTGGAGCTCCAGGGGTGTTGGGCCATCTCTGATGTCCCACCGTGCCCGGTGTAGGTGGTGGTGGGACCCATCACCCACGTCCCACCCTGCCCAGGGTGGTGGGACCCATCACCCACGTCCCACCATCTCAGTGTAGGTGGTGGTGAAGACCCACCTGCTTCTTCCCACCTGCTTTTTCTTGGCTCTTCCCCCAGAAGAACCCCCTTCCCACCCCAGGAGAGGACCTGGAGCTCAGAACACGCCACCTTTGCACCCTCCATCTTCTGGTCTTCTCCTTTCCTTCCCAAGACGGGGGCAGCAGCTCCAGGTGGAGAAAAAAAAACAAACCCAACATGTTTCTTGGGGTCTTGGAGGAACCTTCTGCTCACCCATCACCACCTCCATCCCACCCAACCTCAACCCTGCCCCATGGTGCTCCCCCAACCTCAACCATGTCCTGTGGTGCTCACCCATCACCACCACCATCTCCACCTCATCCAACCTCAACCAGATCCCATGGTGCTCACCCAACCTCAACCAGATCCCATGGTGCTCACCCATCACCACCATCATCTCCATCTCACCCAACCTCAACTAGATCCCATGGTGCTCACCCAACCTCAACCATGTTTCATGGTGCTCACCCAACCTCAACCCCATCCCATGGTGGTCACCCATCACCACCTCAGCCCTGCCCCATGGTGCTGACCCAAGCTCAACCATGTCCCATGGTGCTCCCCAAACCTCAACCATGTCCCCTGGTGGTCACCCAACCTCAGCCACATCCCATGGTGGTCACCCATCTCCATCTCACCCAACCTCAACCATATTTCATGGTGCTCACCCATCACCATCTCATCCAACCTCAACCCTACCCCATGGTGCTCCCCCAACCTCAACCATGTTTCATGGTGCTCACCCAACCTCAACCCTGACCCATGATGGTCACCCATCACCACCACCATCTCCATCTCACCCAACCTTAACTACATCCCATGGTGCTCCCCCATCACCACCACCATCTTCACCTCATCCAACCTCAACCAGATCCCATGGTGCTCACCCAACCTCAACCAGATCCCATGGTGCTCACCCATCACCACCATCATCTCCATCTCACCCAACCTCAACCAGATCCCATGGTGCTCACCCATCACCACCACCATCCCCACCTCATCCAACCTCACCCAACCTCAACCCTGCCCCATGGTGCTCACCCATCACCACCTCCATCTCCACCTCCCCCAACCTCAACCCCATCCCATGGTGGTCACCCAACCTCAACCATGTTTCATGGTGCTCACCCATCTCCATCTCACCCAACCTCAACCAGATCCCATGGTGCTCACCCATCACCACCACCATCCCCACCTCATCCAACCTCACCCAACCTCAACCCTGCCCCATGGTGCTCCCCCATCACCACCACCACCTCCTTCCCCACCTCCCACCATCCCTTGCCCACCCTGCTGTGGATCCTGACGTGTCAGGCCAGGGAGGACTTATTGCTGAAGCTCTTCCCACACCGAGGACACAGGAAGGGCCTCTCCCCAGGGTGGGACCTTTGGTGGACCCTCAAGTCAGCCAGATACTTGAAGCTCTTCCCACAGTGAGGACAGGGGAAGGGTCTGTCCTGGGTGTGGGACCTTTGGTGCATGGTCAGGTGGGTCAAGCAACCAAAGGTCTTGCCACACTGAGGGTAGGGACTGGTCTGCAGTGGGAGGTTCTGCTCCAGCCAAGGGTTCTCCAAGGTTCTGGTGGGTTCTGCTGGGGCAGGGGGAGGTGGTGGTGGTGGGGTGGGGGTGGTGGGATCCCGTGGGAGGTGTCGCTGGTGGGGAGCTCTTGGGGTGGGGGTCTTGGTCAAGGGGATGCCTTGGCAGGGGGTGGGTGGGTGGGTGGGGTCTCGGTGATGTGGGATGGACACCTCCAGGTCTCTGCTGGGTGGGAAGGAGGAGGTGGTTCTCCATGGGGGTCACCACCCTCCCCCTCTCAGCCCACCACCCTGGTGGAGTGAAACCCCAAATCCACCTCTGGTTGGGTTGGAGGAGGTGGTGGTGGTGGCCACCATGGGGAAGGGTTGAGGTTGGGTGGGATGATGAGGAGGTCCTGGTGCTGGTGACCACCATGGGATGTGGTTGGGGTTGGTTGGACAAGGTATTGGGTGACCACCATGGGGAAGGATTGAGGTTGGGTGAGGTGGACCTGGTGGTTGGTGGTGATGATGGAGCAGGGTTGAGGTTGGTTGGGGTGGTGGAGATGGTGGTGGTGACCACGAAGGGCAGGGGTGAGGTTGGGTGGGATGGATGAGGAGGTCCTGGTGGTCCCCATGGGGTTGATGTTGGGTGAGATGATGGTGACCAACCCCGCCCCCCTCCCATCCCTTCCTTCTTACCCATCTCCTGCACCTTCTTCTCCTCTTCCTCAGGGACAACCTGGACCTTCAGCCCCTCCCCCCACCCAGGAGGTGACACCGGGTGGGGGAGGGACCCCCCAAGTTCAGGGTCACCTGGGGAGGAGCCAAAGGTGGGGGGGGGATGTCAAGGAGTTGGGGGGTTGGGGGCCCAGGATCCCTCTCAGATCCCAGTATTCCCAGTTTGGGGGGGTCAGGACACTGGGATCTCCTCCCAAACCAGTTTAGGGAGGGATTATTCCCAATTTAGGGGCTCAGGAAGGTGGGATCCTGGAATTCCTTCCCTCCCCAAGCCCCCTGACCCACCTGCTCTTCCCAGATCCCTCCCCCTTCCTCCTCCTTCCTCCTTGCTCTTCCTCCTTTCTCCTTCTTTCTCCTCCTTCCTCCTTCCTCCCTCCTCCCTCCTCCTCCTTCCTCCGTCTTCCTCCTCCTTCCTCCTCTTCCTCATCCTCCTCCTCTTCCTCCTCCTTCTTCCTCCTCCTCCTTCCTCCTCTTCTTCCTCCTCCTCCTTTCTCCTCCTTCTTCCTCCATCTCCTCCTCCCTCCCCCTTCCTCCTCCTTCCTTCTCCTTCCTCCTCTTCCTCCTCCTCCTCCTTCTTCCTCCTCCTCCTTCCTCGTCCTTCCTCCTTCCTCCCTCCTCCTCCTTTCTCCTCCTCCTTCCTCCTCCTCCTCCCCTTCCTCTTCCTCCTCCTTCTTCCTCCTCCTCCCTCCTCCTCCTCCTTCCTCAAGGAAGGCTTGAGGAGAACCCTTGAACCTCCAACTCGTGCTGTGTTTCCCCAAAACAGGAGGTGAAGAAGCCCAGATGAGATGGTCCTTCCATCTCCATCCTGGTTGAGCAGCGAGGAAGAGGAGCATGGTGTGAAGGTCCTGTGGGTGGGCTGGGCTGCTCCTGGGGCCTGGGACCTTGCTTGGATGCCAAGCCAGGAGATCAGGCTGCAACCTGATCTCCTGCAGGTCCCTCCTTCCATTTGAGTTGCATCTTGGGTCTAGTTTTGATGTTTGGATCCACCTGGGCTAGGGGAGGAGACACTTTCCCTTGGCCAACATCTTCTTCAGCCCCTTCAGCTGCACCTCCCACCTGGAGGTGGGATTCCAAACATCTGCAGCCCTCAGACCATCCCTCCATCCCTGCTTTTCATGTCCTGGGCTGGATTATCTCACGAGGGTTTGGTGGCCACCATGAGCTGTGTCACGTTTGACCACATTTCCCCCCCCTCTTTTCCCAACAAGGGAGCCCAAACCCATCTCCTCTTTAACCCCTTAGACCTTCTCCAATGACTGGTGGACCTTTCCTGATGGGAAGACCTTCCAGATCGACCCTTTCCCTTGCTTGGCTGCAGGTCCTGGTGCTGGAGGGACTTTTGGGCAACGTCTTGATGGGCTCCAACCATCTTTGGTCTTCAGCCAAGCCTTGGACAGGACTCAGGGCTCCAACCTCCATTTGGTGGGAGATGAAGCATCTAAGAGTCCTTCAGAGACCCCACCCAAAGGACCAACAACCAGAGGAAAACCCATCTCTTTAATTAATGGACCTTTGAAATCAATGAATGACCCAAGACCCACCAGGATCTTCACAGCTGGAGCAAAGTCTTCTCCTCCAACAACGTGTCTTGGCCAAGGGCTTGTGTCTCTGGGGCTGCAGTTGGAGGAGTTGGGTCCTCAAGGTGCTGGAGAACTCCTTGTGGTGGTTGGAGATGCAGTGGAGGTGGTGTTGGGTCCAGGGACACCATCTTGGGTCCATCCCCACCTACCACAGCCATGGGGAATGGCCAACTTGCTGTGGTCCTTGCCACCCCCCAGCACCTTGGAGCTCCTCTCCCAGCAGGTTCTCCACCTGGGGAGGCTCCTGGACATCCCTTTCTTCCCAGGTCTTCTACCTGGGCATGAAGCTCTTCAACTTGGTCAGTTGGATTCTCTTTCCTGCAAGGAGGACACGTGTGAACGTGGCCCAGAGGAGACAACATGGCCCAGAGAACAACAAGTGGTGGGGCTGGAGGTTCCCTTACCGATCTGCAGGAGGAGGTGGAGGCCCAAAACCAGAGTCAGGAGGGACAGGACCACCAAGGGGAAGCTGATGGAGACTCCCAGGCCTTGGGGAAAGCAAGGAGATGGTGGTGAGTAGGAGAACTTGGGTTCCACAGGTAAAGGCAAAGCTCCAGAACCTCCAGGTCTTGGGAGGGTCAACCCAGAGACCCCCAGGTCTTGGGAGGAGAAGGTCAATCCAGAGACCCCCAGGTCTTGGTAGAAAGTCAACCCAGAAGCCTCCAGGTCTTGGTAGAAGGTCAACTCAGAGACCTCTATCTCTGGGGAGAAAGACCTTGGGGTTTGGAAACCAGGATGCTGGGCCAAACTTCATCCAGGGACACTCACCTGCAGCTGGGAGCTTTGGGCTGGCAGCAGTGGTGACATTCCTTGGGTTGTCCTTCTCACCTGGACAACAATCAGGTGGAGAAAAGGTAATTTCAAAACTGCTGGTACCAACTTGAGTTGACCCTGTCAGGACCTGGAGAACTTCCCCAGCTGCTCAGGCTGAACCTCACGAGGCTCCTCCTGCCCAACCCTCCAGCTCACGGTGGCTTCAGCCACACGACTTTGGGCCAGAAGCTGCTCCTTGATGGACACAACCCCTCCAACCTCCTCCTTTGGGCTGGGAAAGGAGGAGGAGC